CTGCAGATCAAGACCGTTAGGATTGTAGAGTTTGCTGCAAGGATTCTCCACATAAAATTTGGGTCGAAACTGATAACGTTTGGCCACCGATCGTCAAGCAGAAAACTCAGAAATCTTATTTAGGCTCAATAGACCCAATTGTCCAAACCCACGTATGGGCTGGACCCAACAATTAATATTATGACTTATAATTAATTTTTTAGTTATAGGATCATAAGATCTAAAACCTTTGGTCTCATTACTATTTCCGACAATATGCATTTAACATTTTTATCATCAAGTTTACTTTTTTTTTTTTATAAGAGGAATATGAAAGTAAATAACACAACCAAGTATCATTAAATGACTTATATTTGGCTTCTATTTAACCATGCATCATAATGTTTAACAATGCTTAAAATTCTTTTGGAACTGATTTTTAATTTAAGCATACATTTATAATCTCAATCACTACTCGATTCTTCTACTCATTCTTCTACTATACTACTCTTTTTTTTTTAGGGTGTAGCTTATAGTTAGTAATCCTATGAATATTTGTATTCTTTTAGAAAACAAAAAAAAATTAGAAGTTAATTCACTCTCTCTATCAGTACGTTGAGTTTTAATAAAACAATCACTTTATTTTTATACATATATTTTGAAAATTTTGAAAATAGAGAAAGCTTTCGTTTTTTCTTTTAGAAAATGTACCCACATCATCCTTATGTAATCATCTATGAATAATAAAAAATTATTTACTTCTATCATAGATAGTCAACATAGGCTCACAAATATCTATATACATAAATTCTAATCAATTTTTGACTCTACAAGAATGACTTGCTTGAAAATATTTTTTATATTATTTTTTAAATATAAGATTCACAAAAAGTATCATTATTTTAATCTTAGATAAATCAATTATTATTTTTTAATTTAACAATTCTAGTCCTTCATAATTCAGATGACAATATCTTTTATGATATAATGTTGAGTCATCAATAATAGTAATAGTGAATGTATATAAGGAGAAATCTAAAAATAATAATGAAAACATTTTGTTTCTTGTCATCCTCACATTTGCTATCAATTTTTAAATTTTTATCATAAAAATAACATAATATCATTTTCTCATTGGTTGCCCTATATTAACAAGATTTTACTTTAAAATAGGAATAAACATTACATTATTAATAATTTTTTTATATGATTTGGTATTCATAATAATTATTTATTTTTCTTCCATTTGAGCCTTATCGTCATTTCTCATCTACATTGTAGATTTAATTGAATTGTCAAATCTATTAAATAAACTTTTATCCTTTGTTATATGATTATATCCACAATCTAAAAACAAACAAATCTAAAATATTTTTCATCACAAGTCATAAATAAATATTTTCTTCATCCTTCTTTTCATTATTATTTTCTTCATGATAATTTGGTTGATATTTGTTTCAACAATCTTCTTCAAGATGGTTATATTTTTTTACAATAAGGGTAGAGATGAACATTTAAATTTTTATTTTCATATTAGCAGTCGTTTTTAATGTCTAATTTTTATAATAAAATAATGATAGATTTTTTTGTTACCTTCATTAGAGTTTCTCTAACTCTCATTTTGATCTCTCCTTTGAGATATAGTTTTTGGATTTTTCTTTTGGTTCTTCTTTTGATCTATTTCATTTGATGAGCATTTTCACAAGTTTTATCTGAAAATATATTTATTTTTTATCTATGAACTAAAAATGAACCCATTAATTCATCAACACATAATATACTTATATCTTTAACTTCTTTTATAGTAATAATTTTGGAGATAAACTCTATAATTTTTTTTTACTACAGTTTGATCTTTTAGGTTTTCACTGTCACTTGGTTCATAATAAAATAGACATTTGAGAAAAAACCAGTTTCATAATCTTTCATCATAAGATTTTTAAATTCACGTCGATATATTTTTAAATATTTTATAATCTTTTATTGATGTTGATACTGACATGATTAAAAACAATAGGGACTCTTGCTTGTTATAGCATATAGACTTTTACATGATTAAGAAGAAAAAAAAGAAGACTTTTACATGTTTCTGTATATTCTTATTTATTTGATTTTTTTATCTTCAATAATATCGTCTTCATTCAAAAAAATATATATCTATATTAGTAAAAAAAATGTATAAAATTTTTTAAATAATAAAAAATATCATATCTTAATAATTTTTCATCTATTTATCTTAATTTATTTTTTTATTTTATTTTATCTAATTTTAAAAATAAATCTTATTAAATATTCTGTAGTCATTAGAGAGAACGAGAGACAACATGAGCTAGTAAGTAGCAGACCAAACCTATATCGTCAGTGAGAAGCTGTAGACGGATAAAAGAAGAGGCGTCTCATCACCATATCTACCTCTACATATCTATATTAAAAGCTGCCAAATACTTGAACTAGATGATGATCAAACGCACTTGCAGAAAAGACAACCCACGAGAATCCACTAGTGTTGGTTTCAGGCAACAAGCTTGACGACGGCAAGTTCAAGGTTGTCGTGCAGGCACACAACAGGACCCTAAAGCAGTCATTATATAATCCCCGTTAGCAACTGTGGCCTGTTCAACGTAGGCCGTAGATCCCCTAAACCAGTCATTATATAATCTTCGTTAGCTATTGTGCCTGTTCAACGTAGGACATAGATCTGCTTTAATATCAATCCACAAACCCATGCTGTTCTTCTTCTTCTTCTTAAGATTATTAGCTTGGGAATTTAGATTTGTTGACTCGGAAGTGTGGATAAGCTTGTCGTAAAGCAACGATAATGACGTTTGCCAACTCGTTGAGTCCCCTCTTGATCCTTGCCCCAAACCACGCATCGTGCCTGTGTAAAGGAAGACAAGTCTGGTTGTTTCTTTACTGTTTGTTTTCTGAAGTCCGGTTGTTTCTTTACTGTGTTTGTATATCGTGGATTTTATCCTTTTCGAAACATGTAAGCTTCAAAAAAAATTATCTTTTAAGGTAAGAGAGATCCGACGAATTTATGAACCCTTGGTTTCCATATTCCTCAACTAATGTGAGACTAATTGATTTTATCAATACTCCCTCCTACAGAGGAGCCAAGAGCTCAAAGTCGAGATGCGAGCCACACGACTCGAAATTGAATTTGCTCAATCGAAGTGCAAGCGTTGGTCCTTTTTTCTAGCCCATATGCTTACGAGAAATTATACGTTTTGGGCGATGAGCGTACTTGCACTGTTTTATCCTTTTCGGAACATGTAAGCTTTAAAAGATGCGACCTAGGTTGGGTTCTAGTCTCGTCTCCCAAGTACGATCTTCTCTCTTGACGAGTAGCCTGATTCTTTGTCATCGGGCTTCTGCACATAGATCGAGATCGAAAAAAAAAAAAATTTGACTTGACCCATCCGAAGACTAAATTAAAGTTGAGTAGAATACGAGAGAGTTAAGTGTTCGAAGTCCTCTCTCATTGGTCAGAAGGCTAACTTTTATACTTGTGACAAGATGATTGATCATGCATAATCCTTTAATGACTATCGACTCCTCGGGAGGATGACTTATAATCTACAAACGATACTATTCCGAGATTTATGGAATGACTCGGGGGTGCATGGTGCCAACTGGAGTTTTATGAAACGATTCCGAGATGTTCGACGTATAATAATACGAAGGTCGCTCTTATCCGGGTCTGAGATGTTCTCTACGTTCAAAGTCCTTTGTGTGCTCACACGTGGATACTATGGAAATGTGCCATATCAATAACAATATTATGTGATCCTACGGCTAGTGGATTTAGAATATTATCACGTACGAGAGAGGGACATGCAACGTCTGAGTGGATAACGTCGACAGGATGACCAGCGACGTCCACACATCATATATAGTTAAATGGGGCGAGATCGGTGCTGGCTGGCTATCTTTTTCTAACTCGACAAAGTAGCCACTCAACCTTATCCTCTCCCTTCTTTTGCTCCCCACCCTCTGCTATTGCTATTGCAGAACTGCAAGCAAAGGTCGCCATCTGAGGTCGTAATCCACCCAACCACAACCGGAACTTGTGTAATATACTTTGAAGCAAGAAGACGACTTCTTTGTGTATTAGGATATGAAATCTTTGCTAAGCATCTGAAATCCATTGGATAGTAAGTTGACATTTACATTGTTGACATGACAAAAGGGACATCCTAACAGGTGTTTCGATTAGACATCCAGAATAGACCAAAATAACAAGAAAGACATCGATGAACATTACAAGTGAATCCAATAAAGATTTCCTGCGCAGACTACTGCTTCCTCTAGTGGTCTTCAGCACTCTTCTAATCCTTCTCTGTACAACAGAGGCAAGCATGATAGCTACTAATTAACATCTCCCATGTCGACACAAATCTCCACCACCTAGGCTTTTACATAGAACAAGAAATAACCTTTTTTTTGTTCCTCTTCCTTTGGTAACTTCAAGATCCACAGTCGTCGAAGAATGACGATGGCACCGCAAAATCCCACCTTTTTATGTTCCTTCAAATTTTCCATCATTCTCCTTTCCTCTTCCTCGCCATTACAAGCTTCCTGCTATTTTAGCAACTCCGAAACCCACCCCACGTCCGGTGTGGCCTCGGCTCTGTCCAAGATGCTCTCTTTGCTCAGTCTCTCGAACATCTTAGCCCTGAGAGCCCTCCCGGACTCCACCCTCTCCACCGGTCCCTCTTCGTCCGACCAGACGGCTGACGCAGCCGTCGGAGTCGACGGCATGCTACAGAAACCAGCGTTGAACCCAGCAAGAGCCCCCCTTGGGGATGCAAACCCACCATTTCCTATATGCAACCCCCATGAACTTGGCACCGATTGCGCCCTGCAGAGCTGCAACCGTCTTAGTGACGCCACCATCTCGTTCACCGACGACGATGGCTGCCACGACTCGCGCCGCAGGTTCGAGCCGTTGGGTGATATCGGCGGAGACGCCGTCGTCGGGGTCTTGGGCGGCGAGATCAGCGTCGCGGTCGTTGAGCAGACGAAGTTCTTTGATAGATAAGACTGCATGGAGGACTGCTGGCGAAGAGGCGAACCGTCGTAGGACTCGACGGCGGTGGCTGAAGCCGATGTGGTGGTCTGCTGGTGTTGCGATGGCAGCACGCGGAGCTGGTCGGGGGTGTGGGCGAAGAAGCAGACGCGGCGGCGGCAGGCGGTGCTGTCCTTGCAGGGCTGGGTGCGGTAGCGCTCCGGGTGTAGCCAGCACTCGAACACTCCGTGGGCGAGCTCGCAGGCGTCGCCGCGCTTGCACCCACCGGTCTTGCGGAAGTCCGCGCAGGGGGTCCCCGAGTAACGGTGCTTCCGCGGGTCGCGGCGGCGGGCCTTCTCCCCCGGGTGCGCGAGGGGGCACTCGGTCCAGTCGTGGGTGCGCCCCCTGGCGCACCTCCTCACCTTGAACTCGTACATCCGGAACTCGTCCGACGCGTACGCGTCCACCACCGCAGGCGCCTCCTCCGCCGCCGCCTCCTCCTCGCACCCGAGGTAGAGCTGCAGCGCCGCCAGCGTCGCCTCGTCGAGAAGGCCGTCGCCGGTGGCGACGCCGCTGACAGGCAGGTGGGAGGAAGTGGCGTTACCGCCTGTCGGATCATCGGAGGGTGACCACGGCGGGACTTGAACGGTCGGATTATGATGGCCGATACCACGTCCGATCAGCATCATCGTCAGTCGCGCTCGCTACTATTCTTCGTCGACCTTCTCTCGCCTTCCAGTCGTTTCTTCGTCGCTACATGGCACATAAATGGGTACGGATGACCCGACTCGGGTTATTGACAACCGCGGTCGAGAAATATCTATAACTGACGGCGTTTCGGCATGTTGAGGCGGTGCGCGGAAGAAACGCCATTCCCTTTCGCCTTAGCAGACGAATCGCCGTCACGGATGACAGATGCGAAGTTAAGCCAGAAGTTTCCGGGTACCCGTGGACAAGGGTGCACTGGGACACGTGGAGGCCGCAGAAGGCCTTTGTCAGATTCGCTCGTCTCAGCGGAGACACGTTCCCGCTCGGAACAAGGAGCGTATTAAAAGACCGCGTCACTTAGCTGCTTCGTGCAGGGGTCCACGGGTTTCGAGAGGGTTCAACTTCACTAACATGGAGGACAAACAAACGGGTCACTACAAACAGGTAGACGAAGTATTAAAACAATTAATAGCGGCATGCAGCAGAAGCGTGTTATTACCTTTATACCCTCGTACAAGCGAACATTTCAAAGTCATCGTATCGTATCCCGTCACGAGCCTCGTCGCTTTGTCACCAGACTTGGTCGAGTCAAATCACCTTTTCTGCTCGTAATTTGACCCAGCAATGGGAAATGTCCCACGACGCTGTCACGGGGACAACATGATCCGATCAGGACCGTCTGTTCTAGATCACACGACTCCTCATGGCGTCCAAGGTGGGGCCTCCTCGTCCGTTCGTGTTCCACCATCATGGTGTTGACCTTATTAGCTGGGACTGGGACATTAGGCGTAGATCTGTAGGTGGGTTAGACCTTCATAGTATTCACTGTCCAAACTGTGCTCTTCAATACGTAAAACTATGATGACTCTATTTGGTGGAGCATCGTTAAGAGTTAAATATGGGCTGCTTGATTCTTCAATCATAGTGTTTATCTAAAGATGAGTTGGAGTGGAAGATTTTTTTTTTAATTTATGATTTTTTAAAAAATTAACTTTTTGTATAAAATTGGAAATGGAGTTTTCATTAATATATTTTTAAATAATTAATTATTTGACACTTGTATTAGTTTAAAACCAACTTTTGCTAATCCAGATTTTATGAATTTGAGTTGATCATAACTAGTTTTTCAAAGGATGAGGATTGAATTTATGATCGATTTTATAATCTTTTTGAATTCAAACTATATTATTGATGATACTTAAAAGAGCAATGGATTATCAAATTTATGCATAATTTTTTATTTTATAAATAAAAAATAATTTTAAAAAATTTTGATTATAAATGATTTGACTTTAATATATCTGCTCAATTTTGGTTATATTTTGTATGTTGACCAAGTTGAATTTATTTTTTAAATTAATAAAATATTTTTAACTTTGAAAAAAAAAATTAAAAATAATAATATATTACTTCAAAATCCTATTAAAAACTACATATTGCTTATCAAAGTATAAAAGGTTACAACAACTTTAAGATATCTATCCTCCATCCAAATCTAATTAAAAATTAGATGTTTTGACAAAAGAGACAAGCCAGTGGATAGATACACTGATTGCCTTGTCTAAAGATATGTATCACCCTCTACTCAGACAACCAGATTGAGTAAAGCAAACATATCATGAAGCGAAAGAGAGTTCAAAGAAGATTCCAGCAGGAGATTTCTCCTCATCCCAAACCTTTACGATCCATCCATTCACCATAAAGTAATGTATTTACACCTAAATGAATTGATTGCCAAAGACTAATTTGCCTAAGAGCAGCCACCTTGAATGAGAAGATCGCCATCATCGAGCTTTGAATGGGCCTCAAAGGTCCCGTTCTTATTCAGCTCAGCTCACTGCAGAATGCGATCAACATATTGTGCAAAGGCAGCATAAACCGAAGTCTTGATTGTACCTTGTTCTTGGTCGAACCAGGACGCCATTCTTCGTGCCTCTTGAAGTTCCAAAAAGGTCTCCAGGTATACCGATCAGTGGCAGAAATCCTTCGTATCTCGAGTTACCTTGAAACTTTTTGATCTGGTGTTGGCTGCGGAGGATTTGCAAGTTGGAGAACACGGAAGTTCCCACACAAGAACAGCAGGAGTTTAAGACTGTAGTTCAATGCAGAGTTCTTCTAGTTTGTATCTGCACAAGCAGTTCACGAGAACAAGTCTCGAGTCTACCCGGTCAGACTTGTCCAACCTCCATGGCTCCATTGACTGATTCCTTCCTCCCCCTTCTTTGAATTCCGATGCTTTGAAGTCTGAGCCTACCACCGCAAGACCCAGTCAGTCAACGATGAACCCCAGATTACTCGCTTTCCTCCTCTTTCTTTGATCAGAGCCAAGGCTATATAAATGAACTGCAGCCATTCCCATCTCATCCCACACCAATCCAACAAGTTCTTCTTTGCATCTCTTTTCCCCATCAAATCTGCTTCTCCTTGCAGCGTTCGTCTTCACACAGCCAGCATAAACGAACAGGGAGAGGTTTAGAAATGGCAGCTCTTCAAGTCCAGAATTTGCAGTCAACCTCATCCTCCCATGGAAGATTTCGCGCTAGCCTGTTTCCTTCCTCCAATTTCAGGGCTAAAAGCGTCTATCTTCGGCAGCTACCGAACAAGATCACGATCCAGGACCTCATCCTGAGACAAGATGGCACTGCAACGAAGGAGGTACCAACGCACACCACGACAGGCAACGAGGACAAGGAGTTGGTCACCAAGCTTCTTGCCATAACCGAGGCGGTCGCCGATAGAGCCAATATGCACGCGATCATCGGAGCACAGAGGAACAATTGGAATCACCTGTTTACCAACTCCATCAACTCCGTCACTCTCATCGGATCCCTCATGGCGGGGATCTCATCGGTACCGGTGGGAGAAGCAACGACACAGCTGCTGGCATTCAAGCTTGCCTCCATGCTGTTGTTCGGCACCGCGATGGGAATGATGCTGGTCGTCAACAAGATTCAGCCTTCCCAACTAGCTGAGGAACAGAGAAAAGCCACCTTGAGGTGGAAACAACTGGAGAGATCGATCCAAGACACGTTTTCACTGAGAAATCCGACGGAGTCGGACGTCAAGGACGCCATGAACAAGGTGCTGGCTCTCGAGAAGGCTTATCCTCTCCCCTTGCTCCCTGGAATGCTTGAGAAGTTCCCGAAGAAGGTGGAGCCTTCCCGTTGGTGGCCTAAACTACGACAAAGGCCGGAGGAAACGCATCGAAGACACACAAATGGAGCGGATGCCAATGGCTGGAGCAAAGAACTGGAAGAAGAGATGAGGGGTCTTCTCAAAGTTCTAAAGCTGAAGGATGAGGAGCAATATTTGCGGGTGGGGAAGGTGGTCTTAGACACCAACAGGACTTTGGCCACCGCAGGGCCTCTCTTTGCTGGCCTAGCTTTGATCGGATCCGGGTTAATAGGTTCTTCGGCTCTCGGGCCACTCCCGGTTCTGCTTGCGGTTGCCGGAGGGTCGCTCGCGACGGTGATGAACACCCTGGAGCATGCCGGCCAGGTAGGAATGATGTTCGAGCTGCTCCGGAACAATGCTGGCTTCTACAGGTGGCTGCAGGAGGAAATTGAGTTCAATCTGGGGGAGGAAGATGTGGAGAAGAGGGAGAACGGGGAGCTGTTCAAGCTGAAGCTGGCTCTGAAGCTTGGAAGAAGCCTCTCCGAGTTCAGAGACTTTGTGCCGTACGATTCCCCTTCTTGCAAAGACGAAGACATCAAAGACTTCGCCGGGAAGCTATTCTAGATGAGTTCCTAATTCAGATTCTTTCATCAAGATCCACTAAGATGGATCATTTTTCTTGTACATCGTGCATGTTCAAAGAGAAAACTATCTCAAGGAAACGAACGTCTGTTCTCTCGTATGTCAACATAAAGAACAGAATCCTCTTTCACTCTAGAGGAAGAAGACAACAAAACTGAGAGGAAACACAGCTAAACAATGTGAAAGGAAACCATCAAGTATTTTAGGCTGCATTTCTCTACGATGTTGGTCAAATTTGCCGGCTAAGCGTTTGACAGGAATGCAAGCAGATAGGATCGGCTTACTATTCTCTCAACATGTTGTTTACGGACAATAGCTCCATTCTCGAGCAGCCTCAAAGAATCATGCCTTCGACAGAATATGCTGTTCAGCTAGCCATCAGAACAGTTCTCCGACTGCTTGCGTTCCACATGCTCAGATCTTAGAGAATCATGTAGTGATATGGACTGTGTTCTGGCAGCTGATGGAGATCTTGATCTGGCTTGCAGATTCGATTCAAAGCTTGATAACGCCAACAGTAGATATTCCATCTCGGTTGATTCAGCGTAAGAAGCGACATAACCACGAGAATCAAATTCGGGTAGATATAAAGCAAATCACTCCATATCCACACGAAAAGTTGAGTTCCTGAAGCATGAGTTCCTCTCATTTCAGTAGCAGAGAGATTGTTCTCTGTCTTCTTCAAACGAAGGCGTGTTAGAATTATTCTTGAAGTGTGGTAAATAGGTTTATTGCATAATATTCATTACATCAACAAGAAAAAAAATAGATTAAAAGTCTATAAAAAGATATATCAAATTGATTATTGATTCTTGAAAAGATTTCTTAAAAGAGAATGATTATCTTGAATACAACTAATGTAATATATTTCTGGGGACTATATAAACATATATGTTGGGTTATGAAATAGATAGAATTTCTGAAATTGTAAAGAGTTTTTCTTGAGAGAATTATAGAAGATTGAAGCTTGTCCTACTCTTCTTCTGTTGGATATCTCTATCTCTTCTTCCTATCAAGATCAACATTTGGTATCAGAGCATAGGTTAAGCTATGACATCTTCCTCAAGTACCATCCAACTCCAGATTCCCAGATTGACAAAAGAAAATTATGACATATGATGCATCCAAATGAAGGTTCTTCTAGGCTCTCAAGATATATTAGAGTTTGCAAAAGATGAATTTGTTGAACCAAGTCTAGCAGAAGAAGGAGCAATAAATGCAGAAGAAAAAAAATAACTCAAAGAAAGAAGGAAGAAGGAGAAAAAGGCTTTGTTCACGATCTACCAAGGGCTTGATAATACAATGTTCGAGATTATCGCTCCAGCAAATACTTCAAAGGAGACTTGGGAAATGCATCAAAAAGCATTCGGTGGTGTTGATAAGGTAAAGAAACTTCGTCTACAAGTTTTACGAGCCGAGTTTGAAAAATTACAATAAGGTACTTCTGAAACTATTTCTGATT